AGATTAATTGTTAAAAAAAAAGTGGAAAATAAAAGTGAAGGAGTTGGTGAATATTGATGTTTAAAATTTAAAGAATTTAACTAAAAAAAGAATGATCTAAAATCATCGTTTTATATCCGGAATTACCGTAATTAACTGATTCCTGAACAAGTAAAATAGTAGATAAAAGCTAAAGTTCACCAAGCAAATGGTCAAAATAGTTCGGAATAAATGATATCTAATGATAAAGAGATATCATTTTATTTTTACTTCCAATGATAAAGTATAAGGTGCAAACTCTTCTGTTCTTCTCTTTTTATTGTAAATTTTATTTTTATTTTTGATCATCTCTTCTCTTACATTGTTGCCTTGAATGTGAGTTTTTAAAATTTAAAAATTTTAAAGAAGTAATATTTACAGCTTCCATATCAGGATATGATTGTACAGGTACCACAGGAGCGTAAATATAATGCTTCATTACCAGAACAAACTAATGCCCTGATGAGCTATTTTCCGGAAATAATCGAAAGAATCATCAAATATCAACCTTATAAGCAACAAGTAATTTAACTTGATGATAACACAATTTTAATAACTAATTTATTTTTAACCAATGATTAGACAACTCTGCATTTCCAATTTATTTTGTTAAATTTAATGTTAAACATATTAAAATTACTAGTGAATGTGTTGAATGCATTTATGATTATGTGAAATTTAATTGTATTAAAATGATTTCATTTTAAGTTTTTCTTACTTCGATATGCTGGCGTACAGACAGCATTAGAAACATTTGGACAACGTAGTGACGAGCTAAAGCAAGCTCTCATTAATGTCGATTTGAGTCTTCTTTTGCTACAGGTTAATTCTTTTTTAAATTTTCCTCACTTCAAAACTATTTCCGGAAAATGTATTTTAGAAGAAAAAGGAAATGTTTCCTTTTTTTTTTTTTTTAGTATTTTGGAAAATTACAGGCAAAAAGATTCAAATATGCATAAGATATTTATTAATATGTTTACATTACAGCAAAAACTTGATGCGGCGGAACTTTTCAATTCCACAAATTTAATGGTACTTTCAACGCATGGCCTGTATACTGTAGAACAAGAAGAGCAATTTTTCATCGAAGAATGTTTAACGGATTATTCAAAAATTCAAAAAGTGGTTAATCATCATGCAATGATGATGGTTTTTACAAATCCGGATGAAGTTAATGAGGTCTACAAATTACAGTTATTGTGGTGAAATACATCAAATTTCATAAAAATAATTCAAAATTATTATTTCAATCAAGGAAAATCGTGTCGAATCATGCAAATTTTCTGTTTAAATCCAAAGTTAATTTATGAACAAAGTGCGCATGACCATGCTTACATATTTCAAAGCCTATAACACTTTATACTATTTCATAGATTATTATTTTATCGGATTACTAGTCCTCATTGATTGTTCTATTCTTATGTTCGATTACTGCCGGGACTGAAACAACAGTGATAATCATTTTTGAACACAATTATTTTTAAGGTATTTTTTGAGTTGAAATTATGCGATCAATGGGCGCCAATGGGTGATTATGATGAAAATGAACAACCACTTGTATCAGTCTATCAGACAAATGAATTACCGGATCGTTTCCATTGGAAAAAATTTCAGTACATGCCAGAAATTGTATTGATCACTCGGCCAGGTGCAACTGTCTTGACGGTATATCATCATTACATTTCGGTTATCTAAAAACATTCTGAATATTGCATAAATTTCTTTAAAGATATCTTTTTCATATCGATTCACTTGATATTACCTTTTTACCATTTTTGAAAAAAAAGAGAAAAAAAAGAATAAAGAAGAGATAATAAAAGTTTTTTGAGAAATATATTTTTCAACAATGCAAATTTTGTATAAAAACAAATCCCTTTACTATTTATTACTTATTAACAATTAACTTATCATTATGAGTAGTTAACTTTATTGACAATTAACTATTACAAATTGTTATAGGAAAGTAAGATTATCATTGAGAGGAAGGGGAAAAAAAAAGAAAAAGAATTGTTATAGATGAATGATACTTAGATTAAAGTAACTTTTTTTTTTTTACAGCGTGAATTACCCTCTCTACCATCACATGATGAGCAAGAAAAAGATATTCTATCAACTGGTGGTTGGGATAATGAAAATTTCAACATGCATGGCATTTTTTTCGCTCGAGGACCTGGTAAAATTTTTTTTGGAACAAAAAACATTTGTATTTATCTTACCAGAGTATACACATTTCGGATAAATGATTGTATATACTCTGATAAGATAAATGATGTACACATCCTGATAAGATATCTGATGTGTATACGTAAGCAATATCTTTAAAAATTAGGAAATTATTTTTGTTACTGTAAATATGAAATTTGTTTTAATTTTTACAATGCTTTATATCTGATTTATTGTTCCTTTCAGCATTTAAAGAAGATTATGAAGCTTCAAATATCAATTTAGTTGACATTTATCAGGTAAAATGAATTCTTGTATTTACTATTTAAAGTTTTTTTCTACTTTTTTTTATAAATTTGTAGATTTTGAAGTGTAACATATGACTTAACTTTTTCCCACATTATCTACTCATCATTTAAATTTAAAAGTAAATTGTCAAGCAACTGAATACTTGATTATTAATTAGTAAACCAAGTTAATTAAGAGATAAGCAGTATCTGCTTCATGATCTATTAAGGGGCACTTTCCTGTATTAAACTCAAATATACATACGATTTCTTGAGATTCATTATATTTTGGCAGGTAATGATGAATATATTTGGAATTGAGCCGCCACATCGACATAATGGTACATGGTCTAATGTGGAAGATTTTCTAAATAGTGGTTGGGAAGCTCGATCAATACCCGAGAATATGAGAGGATTTACTGTAACCAATCACCAAATATCCTTAATATGTTTCACCATATTGATCTCATCCTTTATCATATATGATCAATTTTTACGCTTACTGATATTATGATAGCTTAACTTGCAGTATTTCATAATTCAATGCATTCCCAATGATCATCAACTACTGCTTATATTACTTTTCTTCCATTCCTAAATAAAAAAAAAAAAAAAGAAAAGAAAAGAAAGAAAGAAGAAGAGAGAATTGAAACTTTTTCCTCTAAAATAGTGGTTCACAAGCGATATACCATACGAACTATTAAAAATTATGTTTTTTATTTTTTGTAACATAATGTTCATCCAAATTTAACTAGTACATTCAAAAGTTTTGTTTAAAGTTTATTTTCAAATTAACAGAATTTATTATTTTTGATCTTGATGATTCATGCGACAAATAAAAAAGTCAAAATGGTCTCACTGATCAAGGTAAGATTGGAAATCACTAGTTTAAAAGAACACTGAAAGTATTTCCAAAGATCATATATTAACTCAATTTCTTTGTTCAGAATATTTAAAGTCATAAAGGTGTTAAAATTATGACTATTTTATTGTGTATAGAATGAAGAGTGTGGTAATTTTATTGTTCATTTATTACGATTGAAACATAATCGCTATATTATCCATCATATTTCATCAAATCATATCATTAGGTCAAGGTTAATTGTATATCTGCTTCTCGATTTCTCTAAAACGCATTCTGAGACTAATATTTCAACTTAATATTGAAGGCATGCCGTAAAGTATCATTTGGTGGGTGCCATACAATTCTAATCACTGCTATGTTTTTTTAATATCTGATGAGATTCTAATCATTAATTCTTACCTTATCAGCTTTGTAATTTCTTATTCTCATTTAACTCCATTAGCAAGTCTGTTGTAATTTTTCATGAAGTTGGAACCAGAAATGCCTTAATCCTAGCCTACGCACTTGTCAATTGCGCTTACTGTCACATATTTAATAATTTCTAAAAGATTTCTAGCAGTGAAATTTCACAGGTGAACATCATCAAGTCGGGACATTACAACAAATTTTTCATAGAAGGATAACCTCCACTGAACCATTTAAAAAATTACTTGCAGATACTGGTCTTATCAAATCTAATGCATTTGAAAGTGCTGTAGGTCCCACGTGGTTTAGAGGAGGACTGCACAAAACCTGGCTAGATTTGAAATTTGCGAGATCGTCCTTTAAGTGTTACAAGTTGTGCACTACTTGCATAAATGAACATATTATCATCATGCGTGATAAATTGGGTAAATCAATGTCGTTTTACCGCAAAATGTGAATGTGAATTTTACAATTTGTGAACGGAATTAACCACCTCGTAAAAATTTCCAGCTCTTTACCAATGTGTTTACAAACGCACGAAAACTTGAAAATAATTGCAGTCCTGCGACTATCAAGTTCTGAATAATTTGACGGATTTCGTACTGCAAAAAGTTTGGTTCCCTCTTATCTGTTTGATGAGCTGGAAGGAGATGACAGACCCAAGCAATGCTTTAACTGCGAGAGAGGAATAAGAAATGGTTTTCAAAGTTTTGTGACAGATTTTATGGTTATCTATAAATAAATATTTCCACTAAACAGAATGAAAACGTCATGACTTGACCATTCCATACGTATCACAATCTACCAATTGACAATAATAAAAGAATTACAAAATTTATAATGAATGAAAGGAATTAACACTTGTAAAGGACGACTCAGCAATGCTAAACCCTACACAGAGACACAACTTATGGCAGTTTGTAGATTTGTAGATAAAATATGCAGCACAATAAAATCAATTTTACACAGAAAAATTCAAAATATAAATGAAAGAAATGATGACAACATATGAAATTACACAACCTAGAAATATGAAATAAAAGAAAACGACAGTATAGGGGAGCAGAACAAGGCGAGAGCAAATCCAAATTAAACTAAACTATCCCGCATAACTAATCAAATTAACAAACGGATTAACAGAACCCAAAACGACACATAAGGAACCAACCGGCTATAACTATTAATCAGAGGCCACAACATATATATAGAAAAAAGGAAAATACTGAAGATAACTTATGTATACTGGACAAAGTCCCAAAGCATGAAAATCGACTTCAGCATTCTTTTGAAGTTATACAAGAGTCGAAACATAATTCGAAAGTGGCAGAAGCATCATAAAGATGACATGGGAACAACGAAAAAATAATAATGTGCAAGAGAAGCTGGAAATAACAATATAAAGGTGTGTTGCAGCATAGTACGCTCAGAAAATCCTAATAAAGGCAGATAGAAAAGGGAATCCCGATAAAAATATTCACAACTACAAGACTTAAAAAGGATGGAATCAGCTTAGCCAGAAGTAGGTGTCAGTAAACTGTGAAATGCGATTTTATAATAGGGATGGACTTTGCTTCTACGTCTCCTGTGCATATTATCAAATTTTGCTTCGGAAACATCATTATACTGAACTTCATCTGCAGGTTTCTCTCCTTTGCTGTAATGTATGTTATTATCTAAACCGGTTTCAGAAACGTCATCATAACCATCACCATCATCGCCATAGCACCCATTCCCATCAAAAACAGTTGAAAGCACATCATGATTTCCCGAGAGAGATGATTTCGAAGAGTTAACGACTTTTTCCAAACTATCGGATCCAGAAGGTGAACGACTTTTAATAACTTCCGCTGCACTGCGATCCAAAGCGATATTGCAACCGTTGCAGTAATTAGAGGCTGATCGAATATCCACATCGTCATCGGAGAAATGCTCACTTTTAACGTCATGGTCGTCAATATCACCAATGTAATTAAGGGAATCTTGTGATAACGGCATCAAATGAGATCCATCAATAAAGCTCATCGTGGTCGCAACAGCAGCAAGAATTTGCAAACCATTCTGCGATGTACGCGGTTTTTCACAGCTCAACTGGTTAGACGTTCGATTATTTAACCTGCTAGAACGATTAAGTTGTGTGGATCCATTATCCTTTGTTGATTTTTTTGGTTTTACAGTTTGGCATATGCGAGATTTCCTAGTTGGAACCAAATTACTCGAGGTATTTAAATCGCTTTCTTCCGAATAATTCCTGGCTTTAGAAATATTTGCCTTAGTATTGTTCACAATTAAGTACGGTGCAGTGTTCATCCAAGTTTGCACATTGGGCACAGCCAAGTATGACGATGGGGACGAAGATGTGGACGAAGATGTAGATGATGACGTTCTTATGGTCCGCCTAAGCCTCTGCTGATTTCTAGTAACACAAGGATCATTATTCACTTTCCTAGTCCTTTTTTTCAAACGATTCATAGAACCTTCCGTTTGAAATCCTAAAAAAATTTTGTTTGAAGTCCTAAAATATTATTTCGCAAACAAATGTGTAAACCATTTCCTTTCAAAAGTTCACAGAGAGAATTATTTCAGCTACTAGCATTGAATGTGTATCCTGAATCAAGGAACCACATACTTTCAGTTGAGAAGCGATGAGGGACATGTCGTAAAGCAGCAACAGTGTGTCGGCGAAGCGTCATTGTCGTATTAAGTTGATTTGATTGTGGCATATGACGGCAAAGCCTCGAATCGGTTACACGAAATTTATAACTATTACCAGATTCTTTTGATTCACCATTATTTTTTTCCAACGAAGCAGCAGCTGTTACCATCAAACTTGTGAAAAAACCTTTGCAAGCTCTGCAAATGAAGTTTATTATCCACATGTCTAAAACCCCCTGAAAAAATCACAAACCTTGATTAAGCGATTGTTCTCCGGATATAAATAGGTCTACACAGTAAGAAACGAAGATGATAAAAATCGTGTCAGGATTGCATACGGTATACAAACACTCACAGGCCACCATGTATAAACGGAGTGAGACCTAAAATGGTGGGAGAAAGCAAAACGTAGAACGGTGCTAAGGAGTAAAACGTAAATCCCGGAAAAACGGTAAACATACCGTTCACAAGTCAAGCATTCACAACGACTATTGTTATCGCCAAAAAAGTTATCGCCATAATAAGCCGTAATTTCTTCCCCTAAAGCAATGTCACGCAGCACCTGGAATTAAAATAGATCACATATTGTTATTTGCAATCTGGTGGTAAAGATAAAGGCTATTTTTCGACATAATTCTATCGACTGAATAATTAAACGATACCTGTACAACAGCGGCATAGCTATTTGGAACAAATTTACAATTGGGATAACAATCATGATTAATATAAGCAGCAGGACCAAGCCATAACTGAGCTCGTTGTTTCCTGCAATTATTATACACAGTAAAACTATGGTAACCAAACAGATCAGCAATGAGATACATTCCATACCTTGTACTATACATGACAGAAAAATCATTGACGTCTTTTCGCAACAGTTGAGATTCTTCTTCGTGACTGAGATCACCAATAACGCCTACTAAACTGCCAATCACATCACCTTTTTGCCTGAAACGATTTAAATAAAGGTAGCTTCCTTAGTGTTTCATTATGCACGACAACAGCCGCTACACTTCGGCTCTATGTGTAGCGCCGAAGAAAGTAATGGACTACTATTCAGTACAAATTAGAATTAATAGAGAATGTCAAAACAGCTCAAAAATTAGTTCAGTCATTAAATAATGTTAGAAAGGAATATCGAAAGTCATTAAGGTAGTCTTGAGACGAAATTATGAAGAAATTGAAAAAAAAAGTTACATATACCATGACTTCGTAGCAACTAGCATTCCACCAAGGCGATTTTCCGTTTTGTAACGATGACATGCTTGAACTGTAAAGCCTGAATCGTTGGAGAACATCCGCATAAACCGCAAAAGCTGAAAATGGAACAGATTGTGATATCTACCATTTTATCTAGCATTATGCTTTCATGTAATGGCGGATGAAATTCGATTAAAAGGCCAGACTTACGTGATCCCGGAAAGCAAGTTGCTGTTTTAAAGTCCGTCGTTTCAGAAATCTCGTTACTGCGTTCACATGGAAAATGTTGCGAATCGCTGCACACAAATCCTGATCCTCCTTATACTTTCTCAATATGTTCTTCAGTTTAATTTGTTCCTCGTGTTTTGGTGGACGGTAACTATAAGCACTATCAGTAAATACATAAGAAAACTAATTAACTTGATGATTATTCGGCAATATAATCTGATTAGCTAGCTGATAAAAAGAGTCAGGAGAAAGTATGGAGCGTGTGATTCCTTTTTTAGATTTATACGTGATCATATTTAACATAAAATTTAGTACTTCAATGTTCATTAATGACAACCTAACACTGGTCAACTATTTCGGTAATTTAATTCCAGCATTCCAGTGATCATTGGAATTTGCTGATAATATCGACCGATTATTGTACTTACTGGAGATTCATCTTATGAGTGCGAAAACCAAGAACAGGATCAACGATAACGCTGGTTGCCATATCATCGTTGTCACAAAGTTCTCGTATTGTCATGTTATGCTGTCCCGATGAACGATCCGGTAACCGGAATAATTCCGGATTTAAGCCCATAATGTGCGTAGCGTACCCAACCGCTACAAAAGCACACCACTTAATGGGAAAATGAAAGAGATACTAAATCGAGGCTTTCTAGAAACTAAGCATTAAATAGCTCTTCTAAACCATCGTTAAAAGAAGATCTGTCACTTTAACAGCTTTATACCATTGTTAATTAGTCCGAATTGTTAATTAATTTTTCATAATTGTCACTTGGAAAGGAGTTTATGTTCAAATTTCTAAACAGAATTTGGAGAACTAACTCAAGATTGAATAAATGAGCAGTTTGTATTATATCGTTAAATTACGAAGGTTACTGTCGTGGAACGCAACAGTACTATGAGATTATTATTAATTGTGTTTGTTATTAATTACTGCTATTAATTATCACGAAAAATGCTAGCCTATAATGGAAATCAATAAAATTGTTATTTGAGAAAGAAGAAACATACAGATAAATATTGAATGATATATGTCTCGTCCTGCTGGCATGCAATGTTCCTCTCCCCCCTTCCAAGATCATTTGCGATATCAGTCGTAAAATCATTTAGTTTAAAGAAGAAATGTTTTTGGCGAACAAAATGATTTTTAGATAGATTTTTCAGACCACTAGAATTAATCTCCAAATTGGACAAATAAAAATTAAAAAAAGACCATTTTCTGGTCCTATGTTAATATTGGATAGAAATAAATACCATTCTAGCAATGAATATATTACAATGGAACATACTTCCCCAATAGAAATAAGTCAAGCCGGTCGGTTATTCTGATTATTCAGCTACACTTACCGGTAGACTTGAAAATTATCCATTTCCAATATATCATATCACTTGAAACATATTCATATAGTTGTTATTCACTTGTTACTGTATCTGTTTCGTTCACCTGTTATTCTGTTATTCTATTATTTATCGATTCGTTGACTGAAAAAAAAACGAATTTCCAATTTAATTTATGCAAATTACATTTTTTATGCTTATGCATTGGAAAGAGTGTATTCGTTAAGATTCGATGACTTGACATTTTACTTCTTTTCTAATCTCTTCCAATTAACTCAACTAATTAAATGGTGGATATCTTTTCAGTTATTATGTTATATGTTATTGATACAATGACATATTAACGATTTGACCTTTCAGTACATCTTTTCTCCATTAACTTTCTTTCAATTGTTCATCTTTGTTATTCCACATTGTACAAGCAAAAGATTTGACTAAATATATTAAGCTTCCACAACTACCCTGTAGACATTAGGACTTTAGGAGATCTTAAATTCTTAATTAAGGTAGAGTTCAATTTAATTTACGACATTTTCAAATGTAACCATAGATCAGAGATTTTCATCACACGTGACATGTGAAACGATTTTTAATATAGGATGAAATTTAACCGTCTACTCCTTTAATTTTATCTCAACGGCTTTCCGATTGCCGTTTGCGACGTTCCTAATCGCAACGTTCGTAGAATAAACCATTCAGACCGGTTATTGCATCGAATCTAAGAATGTTTCGCTGGCAATGCTACGGCAATTGCCGCAAATTTTGCAAACAATATGACTAGTATTTACAACGACCACGAAAACGATCATTCGACCATCCATCCCATCATTCACCAACAGCTCGTCGTATTTCACCGCAAATGCAGACCATAACCGTGAACTTTGTCCCTCTAAATATCACATTTTCTTCCTTTTCCCGTCATTATCTTATCTTTTAGTAGTTTTGCACAAATTACAACTTTGAAAATATCTGATTAAATCGAATTGTTTGAATGGATTTTATCCTAAGCAATGTGATGGAAGTTTTCTAATTATTGACTGCATATTTCATGTATTTATCCGAAATAAAATTTAATAATTAATAATCAATTCCCAACTCTATACCAGTACATGCTTTTGCATACTAATCATGCATATATTTTTGTAAATTCTTCTGCAAGTTGCGCAACTTTGGTACAACATATAAATCCATTTGTATTACTAGATCTTTACTGTCATCTAGTCTTACCCATCCTGTTTGTTAATATATCAGTCTTTTGCATATATCGATTTTCAGGAAAAAAATGCTTTTAATCAAATTATTACATTCAACTTATCATTAAAACATATGATTCATCTGTCTAACATGCATTCAAATATTCTCTTTTATAAATAATTTGCTTAAAAATTCTGAGATACATTAATTAGCGTAGAATTGCGTATGAAAATGGCAATGTCAATTAAAGATTCATGCTAATTTCCATTTGATGATGCATTTTGCACTTTGCCATACGTCCATTTGCTCTTATCTTATTAGTATGATTAACTGTTTGTTTCAACTGATAAAAGAATAACTACTTGCGTTGCATGCCAATGCATGCATTGATAAGTAAACAACAAAAGATGATATTCGCAATTGATGTATCATCTGACGGAAGTTTCAAAAGTTGCTTCCCATAATATAATCGGTGGGAAATAGTTGTCATCTGAGCTAAAACTAAACTGAAAATATGCTCAAATAAACATATTACAACTGATGTTTGCTAGGAATGGAATGAATAGTAAAGCATCGCGGGTGAGACAGAGCGGGGTGGAATGTAGGCGGGGGAGACAAGAGAAAAGATTTGGAAAGCTGCACATTTTATACCATACCAATGCTACATTTCTTGTAGTGCTACTGTTACAAAGCATCTTTCTATAGTTTCGTTTTGTTTTATTTTCTTGTTTTTTTTTTTTCTTTTTGTTTCTATTAGAATCAAAAATAATTTTTAGCTTATTTTGAGATTTAACAAATCTTTTGGACTAATTCCGAAAACATATTGTTTGATTCTAATTAAAAACCGAAAGACAATTAGTCAGACTTTACCCAAATGATTAAATTAATCTTTAGAATGATTTTATACAGTCCAAAGAATATCCATGTCGAAAAGTCTGGTGCACACAAACACAGTTCTATTTCATCAATATTATTTATTATTATGATTGTTACAATTACTTTTTGTTGGAATTCTTTCGTGTATCAGAAGAAACAAGTCTGTTTTACTAATTATCGTCATTTTCATCACTTTTCTCCATCATATCATCAAAACAATTTTGACACTCCGTGTGATTTCAATAATTTGTCAACCACCATTAAATGTATTTCTATCAAAACCAGATCATTCATTCCTTCGCCACTAAAAATCTTTCCGTTTTTGTTTTATTTTAATTGTCTCTTTTCTTTTTTTTTTTTTTGATTACTTTAATGATTATCGATCGATCATATATGATTGTTTCAAATCACTCAAATCCAGGATTAAGATAATGTGTTTTTCTTTTCATTTTTCTAGAATAAATTTCAAAATAAAATGTGATCGAAGGAAACAAACATTAATTGTAGAATAGCTTCTTCAAACATTGTTCTCAAAGAATTCTTTACAATAATTCAATTTAAAAGTGTATTGCTTCTAAATATGATCAAAAATGTTTGAAGTTTGCTTAGTTCACTTTATCTATCATTTCAGATTTCATTCGGAAGTAAATAAAATTTCCCACAAGTCAATTTTCTTTTCAAATTATTTTAGATTATACAATTTTTTTTTCTTTTAAACCTATTAGAGTTGGTTTTATTTTCGATATATATATTTTCATTCCCGATAGCATGAGTGGTTTGGGAAAGAAAAGAAAGAAAGAAAGAAAGTTTAATTTTCTCAATAACTTCCCGGCAAATAGTTGTTATTGAAATTAAACTTGTTTGCAATAACGTCAACAAATTTTCTTTTCCGTCCTGTGGAAAAGTGATATCCTTAAACAATGATTCACAGTATGGCGCAATAGGCACTTTTAACTTTTCCGGTAAAATTTCCATCAATCAATTTTTCACACAAGACAGTGATGATGCCAAACATTTGGACCTGATGTTACAAGTTTTTCGCTCGTCATCTTCTCATTTCATTTCATTTTAATTTAATTCATCATATCCCTTTGCCTTCTAAAGCTACTACATGTATTTACTGAAATTTGGCATTATACTTCAATTTAACGATTTAATGAAACATTTCAACATATCCTTCATTACATATACTCAAATTACCTCATTATAATTGAATATACATATATATATATATATATATATACTTGTGAAAATTTAGCTCTATCAAAACACAGGAAGTTAGAAAATGAATAAAATGTGCACGAAAAGATGAAGAATTTCAAAATTTATATCTGTCATTGTAATAATTCGAATTCAGTCCGAAATAATATTAATTTTATAAAAATTTAATCGCTAATTTTTCTTTTGCTTCGCTCTTCAGCTCTGAGAAATGCTTCCTCATTTAGTACTTGATCGAAAATATTGAAATAATTTTGGTATTAGATTGAAAGTATTAAAATGACACTGAGAAGTTGGAACAATTTTTATAATTGTTAGAGTAATTACTATCAATGAATGATTTCAAACAAAAGTTTGAAAGAAGTTGGAAGTGATAGAATGGTAAAGACAAATAGCTTTTGTTTCATTCCTTACTTCGTTAAGATGGAATTGCAAAGTGCTTAACAAAGTTATTTGTACAGGAAGTGGAAAATCCGGTTATGTTGCATTAGTATAAGAACATACTTTTAGATACTTCAAAAAACTGTATTGCTAGATTGAAAGTATTGAAATGACAAAGAATTTTAATTGAATCCCAGCCCTTTGTCAATGTTTACTGTTTTAATGTCAAAACTAAAACTAATTTAACACATTTCGGTAACTATGGATAAGTGACATTTCACCATGTATAGATATCATAAATTTTGAAATTTCTAATCTAATTCATTTTTCTACCATTTCATTTTTCTATCAAATTTGTTAATTTCTTTCATCAAATATTACTTCTTTCATATCAAATTGATTTATTATAAATGGGTTGCTTACCTAATTTACGATTTCATAACAACGATTACTTCACTGTGTTCTACTGATTTGGTAGTATGCTTCATTTTAAAAAAAGTAAAAAAGAAAGGCTTTTTAGTATACAGGAATATGTATATCACAATATTAGACTGAAATAAAGACTGGTACTACATACTGCATTAGGTTATGTGGCGTAATTATACCTTCCTTCCATTACTGTAGAAAATATGCCTTCATTATTATTACTTCCCATCAATTTTTTTTTTTCCAAATTAAGTAGAAATTTAAAAAATAAAAATTTAAGGATAAACCTCTTAACTTGATCATTTTTCCGTAATAAATATGTCGATACTTGTAAAATAATTGTCAATCCAATCTCGTAAATGATTTTAAAACAATGCATTTGCAGCGATTGTAAACCAAAATAATGTGTAATCAAGAAAATCAAGATAATAAGAAAAGAATTGATGGGAGACTTACCTTATCAATACCGTATGGTAATGCTGTTGAGAACAGATCATTGATCAAACCAATTAAACTATCCCATCCTTATTCAGGCGAATATTTGAAAACTAATATGAAAACATCGGAGGATTCTGATCAACCTTTAAGTCAAACCACACTGGTTAGCTCATTGCTTTCATATGTTTTCTTTTTTTTTAAATATTTTTAAAACTTCATGAAAATCAGTCATCTCCTGAAATTGATTCATAGCCAGTAAGTAAAGGAAAGATGAAAGGAAATCAGTTGAATCCATTAATTTGGTTGAAACAGAACTTCAAAACACAGACTTTCTGTATAAAAATATTCGTTTTACAGAATCTACAATCGAATTATGATCAATCAAGCGGACGCCTTAGTATTGATGACTCTGATTTGATTGATGACTCAACCAGTGGTACTTTTTCATATTCTCAACAAAAACTCCGATTTAAAATACTTTCAATTAAAAAATTTCAAGTATTTGAAAAAAAAAATTACTCATTGAATTATTACAGTCTCTTTTGTTAGATACTTTAACCAAATCCGAATTGAAATTGCGCACTCTACATTAATTTAAACGATACGCTTATATAAGATGATTGAGGTTACGGTACGGAATTTCCGGTAGGTAGACGGAAAAATAATATCGTTTGGTTTTATGCTTAACGTGTAATCGTATGTGATTAGTAAAACCACAAGTATTCTGTACTTCAAAAATCTAAACAAATAGGACTGATCTCTTTCCTATAACAAGAAATGTCCAGGGGATCATTAATTTGTATAATGCCTTGTGTAAGAATAGAATGAACGAATGATATTGTAGTGGCGCAACTGTCAACATCTTCACCATTATCAGTGACATCTGCATCAACGTCATCCTTCTATCCGACACATAATGTTGGTAGTGGAATGGAAATCAATGCAAAATATGCAAAGTATGCCTTTATGCTTCACATTCATCACTTCAAAGCTTTTATTTAGCAATAAATAATGCTTAAAAATTTTTCAACCGCTAATAATGCTTGAAAATTAAATTTTTAGCCAATCACTTTGATTATTTTTGTTTAGAACTGAGCAGTCACAAGGGACCAAAAGTGATCAGAGTAGTAGTTTGCGGGTCAGTGATAAGTACAAGGTAATTTTTATGATTTTTAAATCATCGCTGTAGTCACTGTATGATAATATCTATTATTTAATGAAATCATGCAATTCATGTGTTAAATACGAAATTCGGAACTTAAGTACTTGTTTTTGCATGATTTAATTCAACAATTTAACTCGAAATATTAAGTAAATTAAAAGAATACACTTTTAGAAGTATACAGCTGCAAAAAATCGGTTAAATGAATTATGTGATATAATTGAAAAGAAAGATAAGCAACTGCGAATATTTCGAAATGGAATTAATGAGAAGGATTTAGAAATTGGGAAGTTGTATGATAGGATTAGAGCCTTGGAATACAACTGTAGAAGATTGCAATCAGTGATTGAATCTGTTGGGTTTGTTCACTTTCATCTCTTTGTTAAATTTTAGTTTAATAATCGAAAATTGGATGAGATAAAAGCAATGAACTAAAATAATTCTATTGTCATTAAATGAAGAATGTGTAAATTTAGAACTTTCCAATTTATCATTTATCAGAAATCTTTCTATATATTCCACTTATGCGATCCATGAAATTTCTTTTCTAAACCATTAAACCATTAAAATCAAAAAGTTGGTGCAGAATTGATTGAGCAAAGAAGTGATCCAGCATTGGAGACAGAAATGATTTATGATAAGAACAAGGAAAAAGAATTTAGCATTTTCCGATTTACGAAACTTCTAGACAATGGATCATTTTGTGTTGGTCAACTCTTGTTCCATTCAATTTTATTAGTTCTAATCATATGGTATTACCGATTAGTAGATTCTATCAAGTTGTTTCGCAGTTTCCATCTTTTACCAAAATAATCTCAAATTTTATTTTATTTTATTCTCTCACAAACTTACCGTAACCCCGGATTTCTTTCACTTTATGGTAATAAATTACAGAGATGAATCTGATGAAAATCAGATAAGATTGCAAGAAATTATTAATGAACGCGACGGTTTGATTCTTAGAAACGCTTCACTCTCACGGCAGGTATGTAAGATATCGATAAGATCAAAACACTGATTCAGCAATAAGTTATATAAATTATGAACAGAAGAGTAGCTCTTAAAGCATTTAAAGGAATTGTCAAGATGACAGTTCCTTGTTTTAAACAGTTAAATATCTATTTTAAGTAAGTGACAATATTTAAGAAACAAGTTTTAATTTGTCATATAATTCGTTATTTTTCTATTTTTTCCATCAGTAATTCATTCATATCATTGAAATCTTCAGTTTTAATCTCTGGGCAGTTCTGTAGATTAATGTTATGACAACTTTCATAATGATGATAAAAATTGATTCTTATAGATTGAATTCGAGAAACGAGAATGGTCTATCGAGCGAGAACGTCTTTCAATGGATCTTGATGATGTTACCAGAGAACTTGAATTGCAAAAAATGATTTTAAATGGTGAAAGTCTCTCAGAAATTGTTCAGCGAGTAAGAAACATTTTCAGCACATTATTTTTTTTTCTTTTTTTTTTTGTACGGAAAAAATGAGATAAGCAAGAAGAAGGCAAAAAGGTAGGGAATAATTTGTCTTATCAGCAATTGGTTTCATAATTTCGTAATGACTATATCAAAAATTTCACCAATGTTGGAAAAAAAAGAAATTTCGCTTTTTTTTCAAAATTTTCTTTTTTTTTCAATTGAGGAGAATTTTTTACAAACATGTCAATTGTGATAAAAAAGTTATTGAAATTTAGTGGCAAGCAAAAGTGTTTGAATTGGAAGGAATGATAACAGATCGAGATCGTGCAATACGAGCTCAGGAAGTTCGGATCAGTAAACTGAAGCAATCATTAGCAGAAGTTGATCGTATTTCTTGTGACGATTCGTTGGAATTACAACCAAAATATGATTTCACCTCTATCAAACGTCTCTTTCTACAATATCTTACCGGGTACTATTATTAATCAATGAAATTTTTGTCATTACCTTAGTTACTACATACAGTATTTATTTTAGCAGCTTAAATTAAAACATTAATAGAGATTGAATTCTAGTACATTTCAAATTTCATTTTCTAAAGTATCATTAAATATCTATTCTCTTTTTGTCTAAACATACTAAGATGACATTTTCATTTGAATTACCATGTCTTCATAGACTGATTTGATTAGATAGATAGATATTTTAGAATATAAATTAAAAACAAAAAAAAAATCTTAGAATACCACTAGTACGTTGCTTACAAGAATTGAATTTTCATTAATAAATTAAAAAGATAATTGGCAGATTAGCATTTCAGTTCCGATGAAGAACGGATGCAACTATTACATAACGTGTCAAATGCACTTCATCTATCAGATGAAGAGCAACGTCAATTACGATCAAATCTGAAGAGCAAAATTTACGTTTCCTAAACTATTTTCCATAATTAGTAAATCATCGATATTTATGCTGGGAAATGATGATCTTTTATATATTTAAGCGAATTTTTCACTATTAATCAGTGAAATCTTTCCCTTTTATTATTATCATTATTTTTGCTTAACTTTTGATTATTTTGATAAAATTCAATGAAAATTTTCGGATTAATATTTTTTAAAGAAAAAATGTTTTAAAACATTCTGTTAACTATAAAAATAAGTATTGATTATTTCAACAAATAAAATATGAAGACAGTAATTTCTTTTCTTGTTTTTTTTTGGTATGAAATTTTTATTTGGGAACAAATTATATTTGCTACGCTTTTCTCTCTTTAAATTTTGAATGAAATAATTTCCTTTGATTCACTGGATAATATTATTTTTATTGTCAAGTTTAGATAATATAACATTTGTTAGAAATGCACTCAAAGCTAAACAAAACAGAACAGATCTGATTTTGAATTAAGTTTATGACAGGTAAAAAAAAGAGTTTAAATGCTAAGAGTTTTCCGTTTTCTGGTTCATATATATGTGTAATATAAGCAGATAAGGGAAACGGAAGACACATATGAAGGAGGTATGTTTTATAAAGATTGAATATAAATTGAGGATGAAATGCAAATAACGTATTGATAAAACCGTAGTGATAATCATTATTGTATGATATGAAACAATTAACGTTTCTAATTTAGAAATTCCAAAGAATTAGACAACTTCACATCTTTTTAGTTTTGCAATTTTTTCAAAATATCTGACATCAATTTCAGTAAAATTACTGTATAAAATGAATTTAGTTAATAAGCAATAGAAGATTTCAAAAAAACAAAAAAAAAAGCATACAATTTGTAGTACAATTCCTTTAATTAGCACTTCATTGAAAAATGATTAAATTATTATCATGTAACTGATAGCAGTAATTATCATAAATGAATAGTCATTTGATTTTGTAATATTTTCAAATTTTAATTTGATTCTTGGCTGTACATCTGATTACATATATTAAATGAATGGCATAAGTAACAAGTGAGGTAAAAATTACGAAGAAACGAAACAATATTGAGCAAAATTAATTCATATTAGAAATTCATAAATACTTTCAACAGGTACTATGTTGATGAAGTTTACGAATACTCATTGATCGTCGTTTTCTCATGAATCCTAGTGTTAAAAGATCACGAAAACATCGTCGGAAATCATGATTATACATCGTATAGATTATCGGATTTAACACCTACAATACAATTTCAATAAAATCAGAATTTCATTCAGAAATTTAATAATGCAACGGATTGTTTTAATTGCAGCTACCTTGCAAGAAATACAAAGTTTAATAAGAAATAAAAAACTAACAGAATTTGAATAGCCTAGCCACAGGAAAACTTCTTGTGTTGAATAAATAATCTCATCAGAGCTGCTCACCAATACTTCGATCAGGTAAATTACAAAGAACGGAAGCCAACAGATTGAAAATGCTGAAAGTTATTGAATTTGTCAAATTTCAGATTGTCAATGCCATTCACATGAAACTTTATTGAAATCTATCAAGTTTCAGAATGAACTATAATTATTAATTGATATTTGCTAAGATTTCCCAATTTCAAAATTCCTGTTTTTTATTTTTCTCAAGTTATTTTCGTTATATCAAATACCATATTAAATATAATTGTGAAAAATACCAAAAAAAAGGATGGCAATCGTCTTTAGAGCTTTTCGTTCTTTCATATAAACAATTTTCTCCCTGGAATGACTAGTAAATTTTCCAGGGCCACAAGTATGGTAACGATCATGCGCTTTGGCTAACAAATAACGAGGCTGTATCTTGAGATAACAACTATGTGCTATTTTGGCTAATGTTAGCACAGTTCCATCGTCAGTTTCCATACGGTTCACTGGTAACTGAAATGCAAGAATTCCTCAGATACATGTGACAAGTTTGATATATCAAGTTCTAGACAAATCTGCAGCAATCATTCCTCTCATTGCCTATAACTGATCCGATCCGATATTCCCCCGATATTCAATGAAAATAAATGTTGGACTACAATCTAACTTTTTCAGTTATTGTTGAAGAGTTCAATTGTTGAAATAGGTAAGCATCAAAGTTCATCCTAATATTCTTTTAGTAATTAGCCAACTCGTAACAACTAGTCTTTTGGAAAGATTCACTGCAAAACATTTAAGCTATATCAGAATCTGGTGATATACTAACATCCATTTCTGGATCAGGAAAAAAGTCAATTTCTTCAGTAATATATCTTTAAACTTTGATTTGAATAAATCAACGAAAATATTTAAATTACTAACACTTAAATATGTACTCAATATTTAGAATTAAAAAGGACTGAAATATTTTTAAACAACAAAAGATGTCCGAAGTAAAGAACCTTTGATCTGTCATTTGATGTCATCTCACAACTGGATAGATCCGATTTAAACGCAGATATACCAACACTGATATCACTGTACCTTAAATCATTTGTCGGTTGCTTTTCGGGCATTGATTCATCTTCCGAATACAACATACCGTTAGGATGTGAATAGTAACGTTCATTGGAATTCCTATAAAACTGTTACTAGTAACTGCATAATATAGAAGTTCGAAATTTGCGGGATCTGGTTAGAGCGTTCAGGTCAAATGTTATAACAGGGAAGGGTATATATTCAAGAAAGGCCTTTTTTTTCGTCTTTTAACTCTTTGAAAAATAACCAATGTTATTTATGCTCATACTCTATGAAGTTATTTCAGTTTTAGTTTAAGCTTTCCCTATTTTAATCTGGCTACAAAGATAATGTCCGTATAAAATTTGGAAACTGAAATATTTAATAATTTTTTTCATCATAACTATTTTCATTTTCCGTAGTGTCCGGAAATTACTTATTGTCCAGTAACAGATCGTTACTGACCACAATTGTTGAATATTTGCCATAAATTTCGGACAAATATCCTCCCATCCCCAAGTAATGCCTTATTATTCCCGGTGATAAAAAAAAAACTGTGTGAACTGCCATAAATTCCAATTTATTACTCTTCTTCTGATGCAGGTGTATTTTAAGTGTTTCATAGAAACCAATTCCTAATCTTAATTAACTAAGTTTGTTGATTCTTGAACATAGCTGAATTAAAATAGCTATACTCGATACGTGATGACTTCCTGATAATACTTTGATTATTACACTTATCACTGCAGTTAGAGATTGGAGAAATGAAAATATATTTCAATTTGAATCTCCCAAACAATCTTATTTTGACCTGTCTTTGCTTAGGCTGTTAGAAGTATGGCTTTTATTGGATCTGTCATATGATTTCAAATTGATGCTCTTCCACAAAACTTTTTCACGTGTCGATACAATGCGGAATATTTTATAGTACACGAAGCACATCAGCTAAAACATTTTTTTAAGAAACTTCTTCGCTTTAAAATATTAAATTTTCCGATAACAATTCATTGTTTCTAAAATGTTTAACAAATAGCGAGAAAAAAAAGAAGGAAATAATCTGTCTGCTTGATTACTTGAAATAAAAAATGGTCTCTATATGTACCAAAAGTGGTATGAAGAAGCTCGCCATTGAACTATATATTCGATATAGGATACCACTGGGATAACTGCAAACGACCATATTCAAACATGAAGTTGATCCAGAAATATCCACACGAGTGGTTAAGGGATAATCATCGAAATGAAATATCCATGGCGGAGTGCATACAATAAATGAGATCAACCAAACTGAGCCCAATAATAAAGCGGCTGTTTTACGATTTCTATAAAAATTGTTGTAGCATATGAAATTTTCACTAATACTTGTAATATAAACAAATTCAATGGCATTGAATATTTGGTACGATCATTTTGATTAGTCTGATAATTCTGATAAAATTATTTCATTAAATTCCTTATGTTACATCAAATATAACTGCAAGGAGAAGAAAAAAATGAGTTAAAAAAAATGTTGAAATATCAATAATGATGAAGATTTTAAAGCTATCAAAGCTTTCTCGTTGTTATCATCTTTTACCTCTTTCCATTTAACCTTTAATGTTTCTTCTAGTCCAAAACTCTTCCATTCTTTTCATTCACAAATTATAATTTAACAATTAATTAAAATTTTAGATAATTATTGCATTTAGATAATTATTGAAATTTATGCAAATATATTTGCACCTGAATAGAATTTTCGATGCATTGCATCTGTTATCTATCCTTCGGTGCCAGCATAAATAATGTACGCATGAAATTGTCAACACACTATCCGAGATGTTTACAATCAAATCGTTTTATCAACATGGAATCTAATTATTGCTACTTTTGCTTTCATGCAATTCACAATTGCTCTCTTGGGTATATAGTTTAGGTTAAAAGTTCAATTTTATAAACAAAGAAAAAGAAATTATTGAATAACGTTTTATTAATTAAACATTAACATGTTAAAAATTAAATACCTCGTTCTGGAATAGTTTAACGGCTTAGAAATGGCTAAATAACGGTCAATTGATATGACACAAAGATTGAGTATGGAAGCTGTACAGAAAAGGACATCACTTGTTGACCATACTTTACATAATAACGTATCGAATGGCCAGGCATGATTTAACAATAAATCCAATAGTGATAATGGCATCACAAATAGACCAACTAAGAGAT